GTCAAATTGAATCTGACTGATACAGGAGGGATTGCCCCTCCTTCTCCAGCAGAGCATCTGGTGGATTCAAACAGCATACCTCTGGGATTGCAGTGCAGTTTCTTGCCACTAGGCCACCAGAGCTCTCTTAGCTTATATTTTAAATGAGAATTTATCCTGAACACAATGCCTGAATTTATAGCAAATATATATAACATAAATCCCTCAGAAGAAGATTGTTCATCTTTCTCCCAGGGAGCCACTGGTCAATTTGAGCCACCTGCCTTTGTTTAAATCCTTACCCAATAGGCCAACATTTCTCATGGTCAAAGAACTGAAAGACAAATTCAAGTTTCCTGGGTTTTGTTTGGTTTCTTTTAAATTTTTGTTATTAATTATAATAGAAGTTTACAGAGACTTTGGATTTCCAGTCATTCATTGTTGCACTTTTCTACCTGCCCACTCCTCCCTCCCAATTCAATCTTCTCTTTGGAAGGTAAAAGGAAAAGCTCCCTGTTTTGTTGTTAAAGGATTCTGTGGGCAATTCTTGAATGATATAAAAAATATCAAAGGAATATTGAAGTAATACACTGTAACTGTATCAGAAAGAATTGGCTAACATTATACCATTTCAGGAAGTAGCTACTGATAAAGAAACAATAGCACTGAAAGAAAAGTCCAAGCTACACTGAAGACATTGCTAAAAAAGAAAAATGCCACCCAGAAAGTGATGGAATGCCAAATGAGATGTTTCAGGAAACAGATACAAGCCTAAGCCTAGTCACAGTCACAGTCACAGCCAAATATACGGAAGGCAGCCACCTGGCCGACTGACTGGAAGAGATTCATATTTGTTTCTATTATCAAAAAAAGGTGATTCAAAGAATGTAGAGATTATAGAACAATACCAATATTAGCATATGCAGTTAGGATCTTGCTGGAGATTCTTTTAAAACAGATGGAACAGTACATGAATAAGGAAATGCTCAAAATTCAAGCTGTGTTCACAAGCAGCCACAGCACAAGGAATACCTTTGCTGATGTCAGATGGATTTTAGCTGAAAGCAGAGAATTCCAGAATTACTTATTTATGTCTTGTTGATTGTGGAAAAGCATTTGATTGTGAGGATCATAATAAATTATAGCTAACATTAAAGAAAAAAATGAGAGTTCCAGATTAAAAAGCTGTTGTGCAAACAAAACAGAACACTGCATTGTTTAAAATCAGAAAAACTATGTGTCAGGATTGTATGCTTTCTTTATACCCATTCCATCAGTATTCTGAGAAAATCATTCAAGAATCTGGAGTATATGAAGAAGAATATGGACCAAGATTGGAAGAAGATTCAAGAAAAACTTGTAATATGTAGATGATACAATCTTGCCTGCTGAAAGAGGACTTGAACATTTGCTGCAGAAGATCAATGACTTGCAGCCTTCAACATGAGTTACATCTCAGCAACAAGAAAACAAAAATCCATGCTACTAGACCAATAGGAAACATCGTAATAGATAGAGAGAGCTTGACATTGTCCATTACTTAATTTTACATGGACCTACAGTCAACAGGTGACAGCAGTAAAGAAATCAAAAGACATGATGCATTGGGGAAATCTACCACCAAGGACCTCTTCAAAGTGCTAAAGAGCAAGGTTGTCAATTTAAAATCTTAGGTACACCTGATCCAAGCTGTAATCTTTTCAATTACTTCCTATGATTATGAAAGTTGGACAGTTAATAAGGATGGCAAAAGAAGAATCAATGAAATTGAGTTGTGATTTTGAAGAAGAGTACTGAAAATCCCATGGCCTGCCTAAAGAACAAACAAGTCTGTATTGAAGGAAATGCAACCAAGGTTCTCCTTAGAGGCAAAGATTGTGAAACATCTCACATATTTTGGGCATGTTGAAAGGAGAGGCCTGTACTTGAAGAAAGGACATGATGTTGGGAAAGATGTAGGGTCAGAGAAAGAGAGGAAAACCACCAGAAAGATGGATTGACACGGTTACTCTAACAATGAACTGGACCATATCAGAGATGGTGAGAATGGTGCAGGATGGATAAGGTTCATAGAATTTCTATTAGTCATAGTTAACCTGATAGTGTCTGACAACAGCAATATAGGACTCTTGTGGAGCAAGGAGAGGCACTCTGGTGACTTAATCTATGGAGAACTGCACTACTAACCCAAAGTCTGAGCTTCTTCAAATCCACCAGCACCTTCCAGGGAGAAAAATGGGCAGTCTCCTCCCATGCAATTTACAGCCTTGAGAACTCCGTGAAGCTTGTGTAGGTTCTGACTCAACAGCAATGAGTTTTTGTTTTGAATTATATAGGACTCTAGCTAAACAAGTACATTAGTGTTCCAATTGCAGGAACTTTTTAATCTATGCTATGGTATTGTGCCAGGAAGGATTTCTATAATTTCCTATATTGGCCTAGATGATCCATTTTCTAAAAGCATGTTCTCTTTAAATGCTTTTCATTAAATATGAATCCCTATCTTCTTCAAAGAGCATTTTTTATATTCATTGATTTTTTTTAGACGTTCAATCAAAACTTCTGGACAAAATCGCATATTCACCACTAAAACCAAACTGTACCTAATTTAATCTTTCTTTGATGATTAAAAATTGTGGCTTGTGATCTCTTTAAAATTCAGTAATTTTATTCTTTCAGTTCATATCACATCAAGGAAATGTAAACATAGGCATCAAGAGACGACCTGATAATAATGCATTAATCAGTAGAAACTATATTAATCATTAAGAGCCCGCACAGTAGAGTGGCTAAAGAGTTTGACTGCTGAACAAAAATGTCAGTAGTTCAAGCCTCCGGTTGCTCCATGAAGAAGGATGTGGCTGTTTCTATAAAAATTACAGCTTCAGCAATCCTCTGAGGCCATTCTACTCTGCCTTACAGAGTTTCTGTAAATCAGGATTTATTCCAAAGGAATGGATATATGATACTAATATTTTGAGAAAGAAATCTCCATGTGCTCTCATTTTGGAAGTAGGGAAATAAGAACATAATATGAATTCTTCTCACATTAGATGATCAAGCAAAAACAATATATTTTATTCTTCACTTCATATACAATATAAAAACATACTGAAAAATAAAATCAAGGAAAACCTCAATTTACATCCTATGGTGGTAATCTGGGATAAGACAGGGTTTTTCTTTAGGCTAATAAGGAAAATTTTTTCCTTAAAAAAATATTAGGGTTTTTTTTCTTTTAGAAAAGAACTAAAGGCAAACACACATAATGAGTTTAAAATGGATTTTCATGTCTAAAATTCACTAGGTCGATGAAATTACTACAGAATTAGTCAGGTGGCATTTGGCTATGAATTAATAAACCAATAGATAAGCATATCACATAAATGAAAAAAGAATTATTTAATCCTCACTCTTCTTATAGTCCTCTGAATAATTATTTCCTTCCTCATCAGACGATATGTGCTCTAGACAAATTTTCAAAAGAATTAAGTGATATGATATGATATGACATGATATGATATTATATGATACGAAAGGAGGAAGAAAGAAAAATAACGGAGACTGATGCAGAATTGGAAAAGTAAAAGTTAAAAAGCAGTAGTTTTAGAAGATTTCAGGACTTCAATTAGGTATGGCATTAATTTTTTCCCAGCAAGTCTTAGTCTTGGCAGGTTTCTGCTAAAATACAGGAATTTCATGGAAATGAATTATTATGCACAATAGTTGTACTTGAGAGAAACTATATGGGGGTGGGGGAGGGAGGGATAACACCCTAGACTAAATACAAATGAAATTCATGTATCAAAACCAATACTGTGAAAATAGTTTAAATGTGTCTTGAATTTATATTTAGTCATTAACCTAAATGCAGATTTTAGTTGGAGCCACACTTCTGCCTCATGGTCAGAAGACCTGAAAACCTGTGGCGTGGAAAATTGGCAGGATAAAGAATATTGAATTGGTCTGCATGGAAAAGTAGGTTTTTGGCAGCCATAACGTTCTCCCTAAGCAGATCCCTCTCCCCTCTTCTCTCTCTCTTGTCAAAAATCTGCTCCTTGTTTCACTCTTGTCCCAGAAAAAGAAGCCGCAGGAAGGCCAGAGATGAGCTGAAGTGCAAGCAGGTGTCAACCTGACCATTCACTATTCTTCTTGACCTTAAATCCCATGATGGTCTTGAATCCCATGGCCAGAGGGAGCCCTAAAAAAACCAAACAAAAATATATTCCAACCCTAACTCATCCCCTGAGAGATGAGACTAGAGATTTCTACTTTATTTCCTTCTTCCCACAAAGGAAATGAATCTATCTACTGCCTTATTCGAGGACCCTAAGAGAAATTGCAATTCACAAAAGGAAATGATAAATTCATTCTCAGGATGAATTAAAATTTATTTCACTCTTTCTACCACTTCCATCCTGTTTTAATCCCACACTCTGTCTGGTTACCTTCAGTCAAGTAGATATTTTCTCAGTTTTATTTGGGATTCAGGGCCTTTTCTGGTATCCTCCCTCAACCTGAAAAGACCTTAACAGAACAGCTACCTCAGACCTTAATGTCAAATCCACTCCTTCTGCCCAGACTCATTAGAGCAACCCTTGCATTGAGGAGAAATTGTTTCCTTCTACCCTTGCTCCCGTTCTCCACAAGCCCCAGCCTTGAGAGGAAATATGGACCTGGCTCCTCCCATGGGTTCCTAGCCCCTTGCATGAGAGAATTGGGGGGAGATGGACCTCCCCCGGGTGGATATTGTGTCCCTGTGCTTCTTAGTGGTTTTCACCCTGATCTTTTCTCTCTTTGCAGCTGGTTAATAATCCACTAGCAAGTCAGGCTGCAGCGGCTGCGGCAGCAGCAGCCATGGGCTCCATAGCAAGCTCACAGGCCTTTGGCAATGCCCTCTCCAGCCTTCAGGGGGTCACAGGTCAACTAGTTACTAATGCGCAAGGACAGGTGAGTGGGAGATGGAAACAAGAGTGAATTTTTATGGCAGATTGAACTTGGAAAAGGAATGAATTTCTTTTGCATGACAGTGATATGTAACCACATCCTTTTGAGGCAAATAAATAATATTTAGTAGCAATGTCAAGAATAGGAGATGGGTTGGGAGATGTTTCTATATTTTAGAGGCAAGATTTTTTTTCCCTTTCCCTAGAATGTAACTGTTTTATTTTGTTGTCCTTTCCACTTTTGTTGACCCATATTTTTACCTTAATTGAAGAAGTCATTTTTTTCTTTCTGGGCGTTCCCTTTGTAAAAGAATTTAATTTGAAAAAATAAAATGGCAGTGTTTTTAAAAAAAAAAATTCCAACTTGGGTTGAGAAAACTGGTGGTAAATTTCCCTCTCTGATCATTCTAAACCTTCTGAATTCACCTTTGAAAAGCCAGTTGCTGAATGTCTGAATAAAGCCCAGCAAAGGAAAAGGATGTGTCAGAATGAATCCAACTGTAGATGTGCCTTTCATTCCTCCTGGGTCCCCGACTTACTCTCACAGAAGCTGGCTGTGTTCAGTGTCTTGTATGCATGTAGGTCTGCTTCCATTTGTTGGAAACATCCCTCATCACGTGGGCAGTGTTGCATGTCCCCCTTACACTGCTCATGTGCCTACATCAGGGTCACTCTGCCACTCAGGAAACTTCAGATGAAGGAATAAACCTCTTCAACAAACTAGTAAATCTAAAAGCTCTTTGCAAAGTCAACAAGCATGCAAAGATGCTGTCAGAAGGACCCTCCTTTGGATCCCAGGTGCACAGCTCAGCTTCCCAGTTAGGGCATTTTGTTCTCAAATTTTGCAGCTTGAAGTGATGAACTGAGAGAGGTGCTTTCTCCTGCAGGGGTTATTTTCCCAGCAGTGTGTTTACATGCTCCCAGCTTGCATTGCTTTGTGGAGAAAGAGAATTGCTACATTTTACATAAAGGTAAACAAAGATGCATTAAAAGCTAAACTATCTCCACCTACGTCCTGGGGGGGGAAAGCTGACCTTGTTATATTTCCTGGGCAGGTGCAGGATTGTCCCGTCAGAGCCCCGAGGGCTGAACGATGGAGCTTGTCAAAGAGAGGCCCAATGTAATGAATCATCTTATCACAGGCGCACACCACACATATTAAAGGAGGGTTGTATGAACACTGTGCCCTCTACAGTAACCTTTCAATGTCTGCTTTAACCCTTGTTCCAATCCCTTTTCATCAAAAGATCATTTTATGCAGCCTAGCTCTAAATGGAGGCTCTCAAAAGCCTATTAAGATTTCTGGAGGGAAGGGGTATTGGCGTAGAGGAAAAGTTAGTTATACACCTATAACTCATAGTGAGATCAGACTGGTCCAGAAAACAGCATCCAAGTGGTGGCCCAGAAAAAGAATTCCTTGCCTTACTGCTGCCAGGCCACTGAACTTTGAGACTGTACTGAATTGAATATAGAAACCATGGTCACTGATTGGAATTTCCCTTGGATTTTTCTGTGCCATCATCCCTGTGAAACACACCACTGTGTGCCACCATGCCACCACTTGAATACTTATAATGGAGAGCATTTCATTAGCTAGCCGGGATTATTAGGACTTTAAGCAAGAGGTCTAGCAGCACTGTGATCAGGATATTTGCTGTTAATCAAAAGGCTAATGATTCAAACCCACCAGCCTGTCCTCAAAAGAAAAATGAGGTAGTCAGCTTCCATAAAGATTTATAGCATTGGAAACCCTGCTGTTGTGTTTTACACAGTTGCTGTGAGTTGGAATTGACTTTCTAAATAGTAATGGATTTAGTTGGCTTTAGCAAGCAACACTAGTAAGAGCAATGACAGTAAGATCTCTGTTGCTCATTATGCTGAGTGAAGTATCTCAGTCACAAAAGGACAAATACTGCATGGTGCCACTATTGTAAAACAGGACTGACCTCGGGGTTGGAGGGAGACTGAGAAAGATGGGTTCAATAATGTATACGTCATTGAAACAGATGAAGGAGAAAACTGTTTAAAAGGGATATGCGATTAGGCATTTTTGTCATGACAGGAGTCCAGAGCGAAGTCTGCATAGTGGAGTGTACCTAGAGGGAGGGATTGTAAAACAATGAAAGAATTTTTCTTTTACTTTTCTGAGACAGAAGTATACTAGGGAGGAGGGTTGGGAGGGGAGAAAAGTGCAACAATGAATGAATGGAAATCCAAAGTCTCTGTAAATTTTCATGGAAATTAATAATAAATTAAGAAAAAAGAGCTCTGTTGCTGGTCAAAAGGTTGGTTGAATGTGCTCAGCCACTCTGCAGGAGAATGACCCGCCAATGTGCTTCTTGAACATCTCAACCTAGAAAGCCCAAGGGAGCATCTGGGGTCACTATGTGTCATGAGCACCTAACAACAGAAAAAACATTGGGATTTTAGTCATCCAATCATATCATATTATCAGGGATGCTTTCAGCAGAA